TTACCGACCTTCTCCACCTGAAGTTAAAAAGTTATCATATGAGGAGATGAGGAATCAAAGAGAAAAAGGGCAATGTTACAAGTGTGGAGAGAGATTCACACCGGGTCATCGGTGCAAGCAAGTGTACATGATACAAGTGGTCGATTCCGATGACGAGGAGGAACCCGAGGAAGTGGAAACAAAGCACTACGTCAAGGAGGACTTGGAAATTTCAGTTAATGCAATGTCAGGAGTGCACGGGCCGAGAACCATTAAGTTGCCCGCCTCAGTCCGAGGGCGATCTATCGAGGTGTTAGTTGATACCGGGTCGTCCCACAATTTCATTAGTGCCATTTTATCGGACGCATTGAAGTTACCAGCAACAAAGGTGGATCCATTTGACGTAAGGGTTGCCAACAGGGAAAAGCTACGATGCCACAAGTATTATCGAGACGTGCCCATCAATCTTCAATGCGAGACCATCAAGGCCGACCTCTACTGATTACCGTTGGTGGGACCTGATATAGTCCTTGGGGTACAATGGCTAGAAGGACTTGGAGAAGTCAAAACAAATTATAAGAAGGGGATAATGGAATTTTATTCGGACAAGAGATTGATCACGTTGAAAACCAAACCGAGGGGAACATATAAGGGTACGGAGTTAAGGTGTTTAGAGCTAATGGATGGAGAGAACAAGCACAAGAGGTGTTGTAACACCCCGCTATTTCATGAACTTCAGAGTGCGCTTTTCTTAAATAAAAATAAATAAAATATTTCTTTTGCGAAAACTGATTCGAGGTGTTACCGTAGAACCTGACTTATTCTGAAAACCGTTAACTTTAATTTGATAATAAAAAAACGGTTTATAAAACATATTAACCGACTAATGTCGGATCAAAAGTTTGTTTAGAGTACTGAAAATTGTGGCAGAATTCTGGTGTAGCCAATATATATTATACATATGAACAACTATCCTGAACCGCTCGTCAGCTCACTCCTCGTCTCCGACTCTGAAATCTGTCGGCACAAACTAATGCCGGACACCATGTGCACACTCTAGTGGGCAGACTAGGGCCACTAGAACCCAGAATGGACCGGCGACCATTCCGAGCGGATACATGACATGAAATACATACCTCAAACATGGTACCGTAATTATAATCAATGTAGTACTTAGTCTGAGTCCCCACAGAGCACGGTGTCATAGTGCTCACTTCTCACTTTTATCATGTTTTTCAGGTCAGGATGTCGGGCCGGGAGCGTGAGGTGACGGATGCTTCAGGACTTTTATGTTATGATTGTATATATTATGACGATATCACGTTTCCGCTGACTTTGATATTGACGAACTTATCTTTTGATCAGATTTCGGAAAAATTTATGCTTTCAGTAAACCGTATGATTTTATTAAAAATTAAGATAACGGTTTTACAAAATAAGTCATGTTTTACGGTAGCACCCCGAATCAGTTTTCGCAAAGTAAAATATTTATTTTAAATAACTTTGCAAAATTTTCGCACTCTGATTTCACGATAAGGCGGGGTGTTACAGGTGTAACCCGATCCTTGAGGACAAGGATGTGCTAAAAGGGGGAGGGAATGATGCGGAAGTGGTCATCGACCCTACCAAGCCCGAGCACGGGACGCATTTAGGCTAAGGAAGAAAACACCGCAAACGGACGCACCATCAGAGGTTTCGGGAGGCACGCCGAAGGAGCAAGACCTACTGGCGATGGCAAAAGCATCAGGTGGCGCAAAAGATCGGGAGGCGTGCGAGTCGGGTGTGCAGGGCGTTGGGCGACATGCACGAGATAGTCACGCGGGCGAAGGGTGCGATCACGTGCACACTCGAAAGGCGAGGCAAGACCAGGGCAGCAAGCCCAGTCCTCATAGGAATAGGCAATGCGCGAATACTCGACCCTGGAGGACTAGAAAAAGCAGCTGAGTGCCGGAACACGCGTGAAAGATCGGTGACGGGAGTAATCCTAGAAAGAACAGGCAACATAGCCGGAAGCATATTCCTAGTAGGAATAGGCAAAGTGAAAGCAGGCTCGAGCGTGATCCTTCAAGGCATAGGAATGGCGCACACAACGCGCAAGGCCTTACTATAAGAGGACAGGCGGGGGTTAGGTGTAGGAGAAGGCGGTGCAGCCTTAGTCCTATAGGACTAAGGCAAGGCGCAAGGCCCTAGGCGGCGCGAGAGAAATAGTATGGCGGTTGGGGGTTTGAGTGGAGTGCAAGTCAATTTGCTTGGAGTGCAATATAAGGTTCAAGATCCCTTAGTTATTTCATTTCCTTACTGCATTATGATATCTAGATTGTTTAGGATACTTAATATTTTATTGCTTTATTAGTCCCTAGGTAGATTAAGATTAGACATATTTTGTGCCTATATAAAGGCCCCTTCCCTATGATTATTTTTCATCATCTTGAATATTAATAAAAAATCCGAACTTTGTTCATCTTCTTGTGTTTAGAATTCTTAGAGTTTTATCACAAAATCCTTGTGTCGAAAAGGCGTTCCACCACATAGTTTGTCATAACCTCGAGTTTGGCAAGGATCCACGTCCGAGCTGTCTCATCTATCGCGAGAAGACAAGGAGTTTAACCTCCGAATCATCCGCACCACGCCGAGAAGGAGCCATTCGCGCGCAAATTCAAGGCAATCGTACATCTGGGACACGCGATCTTCATCAGCGGTGCATCCATCTCGGCCGGCGGCGCCGGTGAAATCATCGGGGAAGAAGTGGCTTCTGACGTCCTTGAAGGAGGAGCACGAGAATTTCAGAACGACGGTGGCAGCGTTGTTTTTTACCTGTGCTCTGGTTTTAGATCGCCTCAGTCACATGGAGTTTCGAAAAAAAAAATAAATAATAAATAAATCGGGGCAATTTGATTTCCTTCAAATCGGGGCAATCTTATTTTGTGCCTGAAGTTTAGTATGATTTTCCTTCAAACTGGACGCCCATTACATTTTATTTCTTTGGGGCAATTTTATACTTTATAACATTTATGTGGATTGAATTCAATTTTTCCTTCTTTTAACAACTAACTTATCCTGCACCAATCCGACATAACAAACACATGATAAAAATAATTCAAACAGTACAATCCCACAAGTTTCGATTATTTTTCTCTAATCCCATCCCACCAAACAAACATCACGAGCTACTAGTCTATATCTTCTATACTACTTTAAAAGGAGGAGTGTTTTTGTAAAAATTCATAATGCCTAAACAACCCTTACTTTGACATAAATTTAATGGCAAATTAGTAATACACTAATACATATCATATTTTATTTATGTTTTTAATTAAAAATGCACTACCTAAAAAACCCTTACTTTCACATGTTTTTAATGGCAAATTGGTAATACTAATGTCATCATATTTTATATCCTCCCTATATATAATTAAAAAAAAAAAAAAAAAA